TAAAATGAAACGATAGATGTTTTTATATCGTCATCCGATATCGAACAGCCCTATTCCCAGACTTCCTCTACGTATCAGTCTAAACTAAGACTCCCAAATGCCATCACTGACTGTAAAGTCTCCGTTGTACTTTATTGAAAATCAAGATCATATCACTTTTCTCTCTGCCCAATGTAATCAGCCTAAAAGCACATTTATAATGTGCTTTTCTGCTATTGGGGAAATGTCAGTTTGGGTGGTTCACCAAGATTAAGATGCCCAGCTTTCATCAGAGAAATGGGCCCCTCCACAGCAAATCACATTGTGTTCTCACTCAAATTCAATCAGCCGAATTGTCTCTGAACTTTTTCAACTCCTGAACTTTTCTGCCCCCCGGAGTAATCACATTCTCATTCATATTGAGTTATAAACCCGAGGCGAGGGCAAGTATTAAAGCCTAAAATCAACCCAATTTACCTAGGCAACACTCGCTCACACTACCCTCGAAAAATCCTTGATGCTCTCAGACACGGGCTGTATGCCGAAGAAGACTTGATTAGGGTCGCGCCGTCTTCCCTACCCATAGCTGATTTTCTTCCTCGTTCTCTGGTCTATAATCCAAAAAGCGCCCTTTCAGGTGAAGTTAGCCCCTCGCTGTGGCTGTGCGGGGAGTCATAAGCCAGTTTGCCACACTGGATTACAGAGCGACAAGCGTTGAAGCTCAGCATGGCTGAAGAGCTACAGCGTGATATACCAGCTACTGTCTGCCATCAGTCTTTAATACTGTTGTTTTTTTTTATTCCTCTCAGAAACCACTCTGTTTACTTTGTATTCAGAAAAAGGACAGAGGAGCTTAAGAGGTTCGAAAATTAACACATGCAAAGCGTCAACCCGACCAGAACTACATTTGAGGTTTTGAATGTGTTGATTGCCTTTGAATAGATGCCTCCCCCACACACAGCCTCTAAAGCACCCTGATGTGATGCGACTATTTTCTCTCATAAGCCTCATTGGTACACTGATGATGCAAATGACAGGACCACACTGTACTCTCTTCACTAGTACTGCATGATGAAGCAGAGGCAGCAATTAGGCATAGCTGTCTTTTTTGCCAAAAAAAGGGCTTTTCATTAGCTTCACATTGATGATTCTTGAATAACCATCTGGCCACGGGAAGAGGGATTGTTAAAATAAAAAAGAGAATTATTTTCTGTGGTCAGAATAATCTAAACTATATCGAATATCAAAGCGAAGATTTTATAACCCCTCACAAGGACAAAGACTCTTAGCCAGCTTTTATACAGTGTGCAAAAAAGTCCTAGTGTATTCTTCACCCGGCTGTGCAGGCCACAGTGTTTTAACAGCCATGTTGAGTCCACAGACACTGCATCCTCTTGACATGAACTTCTGAACATTTCAGGACTCTTGGCTTGTTGGTCAAGCGTCTGGAGAGAGGAGGGAAGGCCGAGCAGCAGGGCCTCTTCCAGGAGAACGACTGTATCGTCCGTATCAATAACGGAGACCTGCGAAACATCAGATTTGAACAGTAAGACTGCAGCTCACGGGAGCCGTTGTTGAGCTCTGCTGGTCCCTGGTCTTCCTGTGTGAATGGCTTTTTGGCACCATCGCCTCTTCCCTAGCTTTTTAAACCAACCCATAGTCTGAAACATTCTTCTTCTTTTTTTTGGCTGCTCTCCTCTCTCCTCATGCCTATTTTACTCCCTCTCCTGCCGGCGCACAGTCTCCTCTGCTGCCTGTCACTGTGCTAAGCTAACCTTTCCCTACTTAACTCCTGTAGGTCAGAGCCTCAATTCCTCAAGTCGTTCCTGCAATCCTCTTAGCCTTTATTCCCTTGTGTTTCAGTAACAGTAACAGCTCCACTGGACTCCTACTCTCACTACTTTCTCTTTTCTTCTGTCAGAAGGAATGGGAATAACTCTCCTAAAATTCACAGCTTCTCCTTTTTCAGTGCTGTTCATGTCTCCTGCTTTTATTCCCTCCCTAACCAAACTCACACATCCACCCATTTTCTAGATCCCGTACGATGCATGCGAACCTATATGCTGTGTATACAGTACATGCAATATCTGCAATGCAGCGATGCTTTTTTGTTTGCGATGTTTTTTTGCCAGCATTACATTTATACAAAAAGTATATGCATGTTTTAAATGCAATAAGCTGCTCCAAACTGATGAACGTTATGTAAGACACCTATTATGCAAAGTACCACCCACACGTGACCATGTATAGATGCATCTTGGTGGATTTAACCGTTCCTCGAAACGTAGAATCAAACATATATTTCCCCATTTAACAAACTAATAAAATCAGAATCTAGTCACACAGATCATATTGGTTGGTTTCTGATAAGTTCAGGCTTTGAGACTTTTGCTACCACCTCATTATAATGGAGATTAATGGGATTTTACTTTAGTATTATCTCTTACATGACACAGAATTCCTGTATTGATAATACCAGGAATATGCTGTCAGATCTGTTTACTGGGTAGAAATTGAGCAGTTGCACCAAAAGTATGAGTGGAGGTATATAAGAATAATTTGGGTGAACCAACAAACTCCTGGATCCCGGTCATGTTGTCATGTTCCAGCCATTCCCACAGTTGGAGCCACAAGTTATGTGATGGGTGGGAATAAAGCTTCCATACATAGTGTTGCGACAAGTGCATTAGTGCAACAGTTGCTCTTGTTATTTATTTTCATAAGGGGGCAGACTACATCTCCTCCGACACTCGATCCAGCCTGAAATTGTAAAGACACCGTGACGAGACCGTCCCCCTGAGGGAAGGTTGTTGGTAGCTGGGAAAAGAGGCCCGGAATTTCACAAAGAAATTCTTCGGCAGCGCGACTTTTGGTTATCGGTCTGGGGATGGAGGGGGAGCGATAGAAATTCTCGCGGCCTAGCATTTTCTCAAACGTCTGTTCAGCTGTCAGGGGACCCACGTTTGCTTTATTGAAACAGGTGGCGCTAACAAGGCTTTGGTTTTACAGGGCGCTGACAGCCAACATAAGTTTCCATTCACACCTAATGTACACGAGCTCAGACCGAAGCAGTTTTAAAAGAGGATTTTCTGCAAAGTATTCGACGACTGGAGGTCTCCTTCATCTGGAGCCAAATGAGGGGATTATGCGATGGAGCTGTTGGGGAGGGTTCAGTCACTTTCTAGAGCCGCTCACGCTGGCAATGAGTATTAATTAACATGTCAGAATGTTCAGGTGGGCGAAGATGGATTTTATATATAGTACGACTGGGTGTGTGTGTGTTTGAGAGACACTGGGTAGATGGAGTGCTCCACTTGGCAAGTTTGTACAGACAAGTATTGCACTTGATTGTTAAGTATGTTGAGTTTTGCCTCTGTGTCTATCCTTTGTTCTCTCCATGTCCTTAAACCATCGTAAAACTGGTAAATTTCCTCCCACTGTCTTTATCCCAGAGCCCAGAATATGTTCCGTCAAGCCATGCGCTCTCCGGTCATCATGTTCCACGTGGTGCCGTCATCGATGAAGGCCCACTACGAGCAGCTGTCCCACGCTGAGAGGAACCCCGTGTACGCCTCGGGCCGTTTCAGCCCCGACTCCCTCAGCGGCAGCACTGTGTCAGGCATCGACCACACGCCACAGCGGATGTCCCGGCACGGTTCCCAAACGCACCCACACTCCCATCCGTACCCCCATGTGCTCTCAGAGCCGACTGACGGTTACCCCCCTCTGCTTCACCCCGCGGTTTCTGCGGCCAAGCCCCCGACAGGTCACGCCCATTCACCGCAGAAGGGGATGAATTCCACGCCAGCAGGAGGCTATACGAAAAAAGTCGGGAGGAGGCTCAGCATTCAGCTAAAGAAAGGTGAGGAGAGGTCTCCACAAAAACGCACAAACTCTGCCTTAGTGATGGTTTCAACTCAAAGATAATAGATCATAAACCATAACTAGTCTCATAAGCTTATTATTAACATTAATTATGTCTTAGAATGTCATGAGGTTAAGTTTTTCATTGTTAAGTAAATATTAACACATGATCCACAAAAACATTTGGAGCTTTCATCATCAGAAAAGATCTTTATTGTTTCTGAGGAAGAAAAAAGCAAAGTCATCCTAGCCGCTGTAAAAGGGTTGGGTTTGTTGTTGTTTTTGAAGCATACTGAGACTCTTTCCAGAGGATCTGTGAGTCTCTTCTCGTGCTGTGCATTTCTCTGGCTTTTTAAGATTTAGAGGAATACACAGCATCAGTCTAACCTTTTTATTTCTACCCAATAAACAAGCAGCTTCCCGATTCCTTGCAAGCAAGTGTAGGAACACTGTTGGAAGATGGTTCAAGCACCGAAGCGTGGAATATGTAAACGAGGCTGTAAGAGGCTTAAAAACCCCATCCAGAGCTATCCGTACTGATGTAAGATGTGAAAAAGTAGGTGATGAAAGCAAACAGCATCTGCTTAGATGGAAATGTGGAGCAACAGGCGACGTTAGGACTGCAAAGCTGCAGGGATCCTGGTGTACGCTTTGACTGACAGTGGACACAGGTGGTGCAAACCTCTGCCAACAGGATTCCAGGTGTCGGTGCCAGGTCTCAGGGCCAGAGAGCTTGTTGCTAAGCAGCCGCTCGTCCCCGTGCACTGTCAAATGCCACAGCAAAGAGTCTGACAGGGCTGCACCATATGCCCGTTGAAGTTTTCACCCAAACCTGTCCTCTCTCATGGGGCGGGAATCAAGCCAGAACATAAAACATAAAAACGTCCAGCTGCTTTTAAAAAATTCCTGACTCACAGTTCTTACCATCCATTCTTCTGTCAGGTTTTTTTCACTCTTCTCATCCTCATCTGCCCTCTCGCTGACAAAACACTTGTGAAAACGCTGCATTCTGTGCATGATATGGCAGGAGATCTGCTATGTTCACAGTCAAAGATGTTATCTTTTCTCATTCCACCTTTGTTTGCTGTTGTTGGAGCAGACACTTACATGGATTAACAGTGATTCCCAAGAGGCTGTTTGGCTCATCTGTTTTGTTTTGAGTACCGACTTAAGCCTACAGCTTTGAGCGCAGATTAAGCTCCTGCATTTCTTATGTGCTTGAATCAGACACCAGGCTCCTTGCAAATCCCAGGGAGTATCAAAATCAATCACAGAATCTTATTTCTGCACAGGAAATTGCTTAGGTATGTCTTAATCAAGCTAATGGGAGTTTTAAAGATCCTCCTCCCTGTTTAAAGCCAGGAACTCTACAAGCATTTACCGGTGAGTTTAATGCCGCACCTCGAATGCCTGCGGGAAGTTGATTGGCTCATCAATGCAGGGGATTAGGTAGAGGATGTGAAACAGGATGGCTAAGTGTTGTGCTATTCTTTTCATCGGCTCATTCAGACAGGCAGGGGGGGATTAAGGCCAAAACCCCTATACAGCAAAAATGCTCCTCATTGTTCTTATATTAACTTTTTTTGACACACATATCTGTTCAAATGGTTTATTTACAGAAACATATCACACGATCACAAGTTCTGAGCACTTGTACAGTAATCTTTATGTGGGAGAAGTTACTCAAGTATGTTGATTATCTGGAGAAATACACCAGACATTGTGCTGTTTTTTCCTTCACACATGCTGCAGAGCAGTCTGTCAGACATCCACTCACGACCGTAAATGCTCAGTTCAGTTTTAATTCACTGCTTTTTTTTACCTGCAGTATCTGCAGTTGTCCGGTCCTGCTCATTTAGACGTTTCTGTTCTGGACCTGCAGGTTTTGTGTGGAAAGGTTTAGAGCTGCATTGCATTTGCAGATGAAAAGTTCTGGTTACCCGCTCCCTAACCCTGTTGTGTAATGCGTGTTGTTTTTTTTTGACCCAGGTTGTTTTTCAATTTCCAATTAAAAATCAAGCAAAAGTATTACATTTCTTCAGGCTGAACTTTCTTATTGGCACAACATAATTGCGTGTAATTATTGACTGGTTCAAACTGAGACTTTAAAAGCATGCATTTTCATTGCCCTGCAATGTACAAACTACTTTAATTATTCACCACAAACCTACTTAAGTGCTGTGCTGACAGGGTAGAGGATTTCTCTTCATTTCCTGCAACTTCAAGTTGCCCAATAATAGGAAATAGTTTGTTTGTCTGCTAGGAATATGGATAATATGAGACAGAGACCTGCGTTCCTAATGGCTCATAATGATGCACTCGTACGAGGTTGCAGGCAAAACTTACAAACGTACACAAGCCAAATGCAATCCGCCCACAGAAACACAGGTTAATGAGCACACGTAGATCAACAACATCTCGGGGTACTGTGTGCCTTATAGGCCAGGTCACGAGGGAAAGGAGAGACTCGTTGGCGTATTCTTCTCAAAACACAGAGTCAGTTTTCATAAATGATGGTGTGAGAGGCATTTATTGTGAAATTTACAGCACCGGTTGTCGCTGTAATGCTGATTATATTGCCTCTGGGTTTTTTTCAGCATCGTGATATGCTACTGATTATTTCCTGAAAGTATGATGTAATCATTCAGCTGCATGCTGAGCTGAATCAGACAGAATCAGGCGGATCGTGTTTATCACGATGTTGCAGTAGTAAATTCACAGTGGCCTAAACAACGGCCTCACTTATTAACGTGGATTGCAGTTATCTCCTCTGACACTGGGGGACGCACTCTTTAATTCAGGTAAGGTGGGCCACTTGTTACTGGATGATGGTGCTGGAAAAACTGGTTAGGAGTGTGCTCTATTAAAAGAGATGAGGTACTCATTGTTAATGGGTCAAGTGTTCCCCTCGGGTGGGACAACTATATTCATACCAACCCTTTACTCCTAATGAAAGAACCCACTTGACTCTCAGCTAAATGTCTCCCAAAACACCAGCCAATATTATTGCCCTCTCAGATACAGGAGAGTTTTATCAGTTGAATGTTAACATATTTTTAGCAGCTTGAGATCCAGAGGTACAGAGGAGACTGTGCGTCAAGATAAAACCAGATCCTATCATTCGATTTTGCATCCTCACTTATTCACCCGCTCATCCCGCAGGCCCCGAGGGACTCGGCTTCAGTATAACGTCACGGGATGTTCCCATCGGGGGCTCAGCACCCATCTACGTGAAGAATATCCTGCCTAGAGGAGCTGCTATCCAAGATGGCCGTCTCAAGGCAGGAGACAGGTTGCTAGAGGTAAGTGCAGAAAAGTGCGGTAATGCTTTACAAGGCGTGTGTGAGGAGGCTTTAATTTAGTCATTTAATAAAGTCTTAGATGGCGATTGTGATCTGGAAGGTAGATGTGCATCACGTAGGAACGGTGATTCCGTTCCAAAACGCGCGAAACGGCAATTTTAAATATGTGATATACGCTGCTTGCCATCTGCTGAAGTGTAACAAATTCCTTTCTCGTAACCGTTTTAAATGGAAATGTGGATCCTGAAATTAAATCAAAGACTATGCTTCCACACGCTATCTCGTGCAGCAAAAACAGAACGGCTTTTGAAGTTGCATCATCCCACGTTGCAAACCATTTGCATAAAGGATTACACTGTGCAGCTCTGAATGTATGGGGTTATTGCACCAAAACTTTCAATCCTTTTATCCTCATGTTTTTCTCATTTTCAAACTTTGTTTGAACTAGGGCTAAAGCGACTAGTTGATCGACTAATCAAATTAGAAAACGAACCATCTGCCGCTTTGATAAAAATGTAAAGTGTTGCTGTTTTTCTGTCACGGCCAAAAGGCGTAATTAAGAGATTTGAGTGTTTCACCTTTTTTTTAAAACAAGCCTAGATAATAATCCATACAAGATAATGTAGAGTTTAACCCAATTACTGTGCCTCCTCCTGTTCAGGTGAATGGCGTGGACCTGAATGGGCGGACCCAGGAGGAAGTGGTCTCCTTGCTTAGAGCTACACCCATGGGCGGGGCTGTGGGGCTGCTGGTTTTACGCCAGGAGGACTCTTTCCTACCCCGAGAAGTGGTACGTTGGCTGCTCGCCTCACTGCAGCTCTTCACCCTGTCACCATAATGAATTACATATCATGACATATATATATGTAACTTATGTATATACAGAGATGGTGTGTTCTGGCACATGTGTGTGAGCACTTCCGTGTGTGATCCTGAGCTGTCACAAGCCCTGTTAATCCTTCCAGTGAGGGCTGTGCCGTCTTCTCATTTCCCAGCTAACACAGCACGCTAGCCGAGCATGCAGATTGATGATCCTGCTCCATCGCCGCACCGCTCTTTATTATCAAGTCGCGGCTAGCCTCGGTGGAAACCTGTAGAGCTGTCTTTTCACCCTCTCCTTTCTTCTCGATTTCACTTTGTCTTCAGTCTTTCATTGTCCATCACCCTCCTCTCCATCCTCCTTCACCAGCTCCCTTTCTTTCTTCACATTTGGTGGGTAACCTTCTCTGCATCTGCATTTCCATCTCCTCTCACTGTGTTTTGCCTCCAAGCTGACTCGGTAGATTGATGGATGTGTGGATGAAAAGACAGACGCAGGGCAGGTAGCAGGCAGAGAGTGAAAAACACACTTGGCTTGAATATCAATCAGGCGTAGTCTACACACATTACATTTTACAAACTGAAATACAACTGTTTGTGAGCAGTTTTTGGATGCTGCTGCTGTCACTCAGTCTTGGCAGAAGCCACTCTCAGTGATTCATGCATACTGATGCTAATTTAGTTTTCATGTTTGTTTATGTTCATGAAGTTCATGTTTTTACATGGTGCCAGATGTTGTACTTAATTATCTTTGCAGAAACATGTAACAGGATGCTCGGCATGTATGGCGTTGCCTCAAAGTTGTGTTTTTTAATAAGGAAGGGAGCTTATAATGACCAAGGCAGAAGCAAGATGGCAGAACACAGAGAATTAAGTGGCTTTATTAATGTGTGGGAAGTGAACAGTGGAGGCTGTGGGTGCGCTTTAAACCACATTGGTGTTTACTCTACAGCAACAGTCAAGGTTTCTCTGCTATCTCCCTACCTCTGCTAGCTGGCTTGAACACACAGCTTATCGAGTACTAACGTGAGTAATAGCACCAAACAGCCTTAAATCTCTGCTCTGCTGTAGCAAAAATTTATTTCTCCCTCTACCTTCAGAAGCCATGACAGCCAGCAGAGCCACAAACAGCTATTCACTAGCAAGCGGTGCCAATCAAACGGCTGATTGGTGACAATTATCACAGTGAGCGATGCAGATGAGGCTATTGGCTGGCTGTCGCCATGGGTGAAGTTTGATGAGGCAAACTGCCACACTGGTCGATACTCATCTTTAGATTACAGCAGAGCTTTAAGTCTGGCTGACTCTGCATAGCTGGTAGTTAGATGGCAGGATTTATTTGATCTGTGGTTATCAGCTGCAGAGGGTGGAGAGTGCGATGTGAAAGGGCTGAAATGGGACTCGAGGGAGATGAGGTCCAGTGCTCAAAATGAGCAGCTCGAGTCTCTATCTACAGCTAGACTGCACTTTTTCTTCTGCGTTTTAGAGCCTGTAGAGACGAAACAGTCTGTCAGTTAACAACAACATAAGGGTGAAAGATGTTCTAAATTCACAGTAGCGCATTACTTGGGTAATTTAAGCTTAAAAAAAACGAGATCGGGCTTTCTTGGCACATAGTTATGAATTACAAATGGCGATTACTAAGCCTAATATATTAAATCTAATGTAGAGTAATGAAAAGAATTAAGTGAGCAGCTGTCGTATTACTGGTGACATAATTCTCAGCAGGTATAAAAGCCCTTAATCTAAGCTGAACAATCTATTTTATCACTAATGTGAAACTACATCAGTGTGACACGTAATATGCTGAGCAGGAAATTGAGCTTACACTGTAATGGTAGGATAACAAAGAAATTGGAAATGTTATTCAGATTTGCTGTATTTTTATTCAAATTCCTGCATCACCAATGCAAGAATCTGGCATAAAATCACACTTAGTTTCAGAGAGAAGCAGGATTGTAGAAAGCAGCTCTGTCCTTTACAGTTTTGAATGTAGTTAAATTCAAGCAACTTTTTCAAAGCGGTTACTAAACTGTGCCGAATGCATTTGACGATCCTTTTTGAACCGCACTTTGGGCGTGGCCAAATTCTGGTGCTCACCAAGATTTGTTGTTGTTGTTGTTTTGTTTGATGACTGATGCTGACTTTTTATTTACAGTCAAAACTGTGTGAAAGTTTCAGAATCTCGGTCTACACAGAGCATTTTACTTGTAAAGATTGTGGCTGTGAATTTCTTCGGGTCGTTTTTCTTGCGATGAAAGCAATCTGGATGTTTGTCTCATCTTGCGATAGGGCACAGCTGGATGGTTAAAAAAAATCTAGAGTACATGAAAGTGAAACTGTAAGTTTGTGCAGATGCAAAGACAGCATTTCGATAAATATGACATTTTGTCTTTGCGACCGCTTCAGTTGTTTCCGAGCCACGGTTGATACTCAAAGTCTCTGCACTCGTCAGATTTATCGTTTTCATGTCCTGCATGCGCTTTTTCTTGAACTGCCTAACTTTATCCACTAGTTCCCTGATTTCTGTTATAGTCGAATGTTCAGTGTTTATGTAAATAAGTATATTTTATTTCCTGATTACTTTTGGTTCTTCTGTCCCTCCTCCATCCTCTAGAATGCTGAGCCCCAGATGCAAATCCCCAGAGATTTGGTAAGACACCACCCTTACACCGACCTGCAACAAACCTCCACCTCTCTTCTTTAACAACTCCCTCCTCTTTATTTAGCCCAACCTCCCCCTCCCGCTCTTATCACCCAACTCATGCATGCATCCAGCCTCTGCTGCTAAACTAGCTGGTTAATCAGAGTGCAAGTCAGTACCCTACCTATAGTGTTAGTCACTAATTTAAATCTCTAGCTAGAGTCGCTGTAACAATTCACAATTTCATGCTTCATCAGTATGTGGCTGTTGAAGTTGTGCTGCAGTATAATTTGCTCCATAACTCCCTTCAGAGCTGTGTTTGCCAGTGAAGGTGGAAGTTTGCTGTATTTGTTAGCTGTGGATAAGGCTGTCAGTCTGGCCTTGTTGCTGCAGACCCGCTCCGATATGTGAGGCGAATAACAAACCCAGTTTAGTTTAGGGGGAAATGCAGACAGTGCAGTGAAACGTGCACAGACACTTTGACAGCTTTAATAGATTAACGGTTTCCGTAATTGAGGAATTTAACATAAAGTATATAGCGTGCTATAAATGTCTGACAGAGATTCTTAATCTTGGGATTGTACCCTATGGAGTATGTTTCCGAATCTACCTTCTGTGAATAATCAGCCCTCATCAGGATGTACAGTGTCTCCAACTGTTACAGTGTGGTCTTTATGGCACACATTACCCAAAAAGGCTCTCGATCGCAGCAGCTGTTAAAAGCTCGTCTGTTTTTACTGCTCGTATTAAAAAGCTATTCAGATTTCCATAACTCTCCATTTACATGCCAAATTTGATTTGTGATTTAACAGACTTCACGTCTTCACATCTGGCCTTACCTTCAGGTTACATCTGGCTGAGTGCAGGTAATTGGTTAGGTTTTTGCGTGGCACATTAGAAGTGTAATTGCCCAGTTAATCTGATTGGCGGTTCTACCTGCCAGCTGTAGGGATGATCCTCGTCGTGACGAAGCGTTATGGCGGGGCGTTGTTGACTATTGTGACTGCAGCTGGCACATTTCATATGTGTGCACATGTGCAGAAAAGATGACGCGTATCATTCCAGAAGCATTAGAATAAGTGCAGATAAACACCACTGTGTCTCCCGTTGCTGCATTTCAATGTCACATTTTAAAGTCGGAATGGTATAAGCCATCCTTGGAAGAATTGTGCTGTCTTCCTTCCAAAAGTGCACTATAAGTTTAAACTTTTGGAATATTTATTGGGAATTAATTGCTTTGCTTTTGCCTTTTACTCACATTTCTTTTTTTTCTCAGTAATGTAAAGAACAATCCAGGTGGTCTGTGTGGTTTGTGTAGCAGTTTCATGTGGTTTTGTCTCTTTCTGACTCTGATCTTTTTAGGAATTGATGCTAGCCTAATTATTTATATATATATTTAAATAATGTAGCAATATTGCAATTTGCGTCTTTAATGCAAGAAAATAATGTCCGTTTCCTCAATTTTGGATGTTTCCCACCCTAAAGATCGATGTGAACCAGAGCCAGACTGATAAGAAAAAGCACCACAGTCCTGCTGTCTCCTCTCGCTTCTCTTTTCAACTCCCTTCTTTCCTGCTTTCCAAACTCCAAACCTCCAGATGAGCCTTCTCCTTACCCTTTCCCGGAACATCAACCGCCATAATGGATTCAGTGCCTTTCAGATGTTATCTGTTGTCAGGCGCCTCATTTTAAACATCTCACTGCCGATAACAGCAACAATAGCAGAGGCACCATGATGGTGTAAGGGGCAGGGAGTGGGTCCGAAAGAACATCTTTTAATGGACATGCAAGTATTAGATAGCTTTCCAATGGAAAAGGCGGGATAACATCAGTGCCCCTGGGACAGCAGCTCGTTATTATTGTCCTCATTCTCGTATTATTTTTCTTAAGTGACCACATAATAAAAACAACTATAGAACATTGTGAAAATTCAAATCACTCTCAAATCATTACTTTTGTTCAGCCAACTGTCCAAAGTTGAAAAGCATTTAATTAAAACATCTAAAGCTTTCAATTCTTTAACAGTAACAGTAACAGCAAAAAGCAGGCTCACGTGCCGCATGGGGAGCTTAATTATGTCTGTTGATTTTCTTTAACTTTTCTGTTATGCATCTCTACAGTGCAGTTAGTCGTGTTTAAAAAAAGCTAACAAAACTTACTATGTAGACAGCTTTTAGATCCGCGGCTTTGCCGGCACTCAGCTGGGTTTTTGGAAGCTGGCACAGCATGACTCATCCTTTGAGAGAGCTCTGTCAAGGGTTACACGGCAGACAAAATGCAGCAAGTGAAGTGGAAAAAGCACTCGCTTTATGAAATCGGTCCAATGACCCAAAAATCACGCACGATTTTACAGTAGTGCTTTAGAGGTTGGCTAAAACTTTTAGTTGTTTTGTCATGTTTACGCGGTAAAGCCACCGTGCTCTCCAATCATTGCAATAAAAATGGCCAATGATCAAGGAGACTCCTGTTTCTTTTAGCACTTCATCCATGGCATTAGCGCCCATGACCCTCTTTGTTACATATTTGGTCAAGTCACTTTAAACTTTCTGGCCAAATAGTTTCTTTATTGCAAGTAGTGTCTTGGACTCAGTAAGTGGTCCATGTCTAAGGGGCTTCTGTGTCTAACCTGTTGACTTTGACTGCTCCCTTTAGCATCCACGGCAGCCTGTGACAGCCGGGAAACACCATTGGCTGATAGAGGTAACTGCTGCATGACATCAACAGCGTGGGCTATTATGTGCTGTATAGGGGGGAAAAGGCATGAAAGGCAAATGAGATACTTTGGGTGGCTGCACAAATAGACTGGGAGTCATTTAAGCAATCCATTGCTTTCCCAATGGTCTGTAAAAACAAAAGACTTTGTTGGGTTTTCTCTTCTGTCTCTTCCTCGCCCCCTTCTTCTCATTGTTTCGTCTCCTGTCTCTGTCTTTGTTAGTTCCCCTTTTCTTTATTTCACTCCCCCCCGCCTCTCTCTCTGCCTCACACACGCACACTTAAGACACACTTTAAGACTTAAATCCTCTTCTCTGCACCTGGCTGCTACAATACAGTGCTGATCAAAGGCATCCGTCTTTACATGCCTGCTCTGATAGTTTCATAATGGGCCCATAACGTGAACATTCAGCTCCATTGTTTATGCCATTAGTCATACTGGCTTATGGAAAATTACTGCAATGCTATATTGAAAAGCCATCAGCAGGAGCAGCAGTAATGCTACAGCAGCGCCGTGCCAAGATGCTATCTATCACATGTGAATGTTTCTCTCTGCACACAAAGCTGTTATGAAATGGTAATTTGTTAGCACATTTTGGTGTAATGATGAAGGATTTTTTCACAGCGTGATAAAGCATTCAGCATGGCCGCCCATGACACGGCATATATTTACAGAAGAATCTGGCAGCATTATACTGTATTTGTCTGTGAGGAGGTCAGAAGTGTGGTGCTGTTGTGTGGGAGGGGTTTGTATTTTTGTTTTTCAACTACAACTTGCATGACAAACCAAAGCCGTGCATTAGTGCAACATCATTTCATTTGCAGCTCGTAATAACAAGTCAGTCGGTGAAAACCGTGAGCGCATGATGCATCAAAGCTTCTATGTTCTGCTCTTTGTTTCAACGCTTCGTAACATACAGCACCCGATACAGCAGTTGTTACATGAAGTAAAGTACCGAACGTGTCCGGGGGGTTTTTTTTGGACTCCTCTAAGGTTTTTCAAAAATATAACAAACATTACGCCATATTTCATTTATACAACTGTGCACAGTTTATTTGTTAAGCAATAAATGCTGTCAACGGTGGAATATGGGGTCGTAATTCATTTTTGATTAACTGAAAGAGAATGCACAGTCACCAAAGTTTTCATTCCAGGAAGTTAATGAAATTATCTCACATATTTCTGGATCATAACAGCAGACTCCATGGCAGGCATTCAGATTCAACCTTTGGAGAAACTAGCACTGTTGAGCTGTGTTTATAGCCACGAGTCAGCTCTGCTGACTGGGGTAATAATTGCATCATATCTCTATCTCAAAAGATCTGATATGATATTCCTCACTCTGCATTTTCCACATTAGGTGGCTGGTTATTGCTGCTGCATGTCTGATGGCCTACGTCAGCATAAATCTATCTGGCAATAACGGTGACAAGTATTCTTATTTAAAGTCTAAAATGCTGGTGTCTTCTAAGCGAGCATAACTAATAAAACAAAGCCTGACTTTAAAGCAGTACCTATTGTGCTTTTCCTATTATTTATATGTATTCAACAGTGGGGACGCTGAAGCCTGAGGGTGATAGGTGGAACAAAAGGGCTAACACAGAGTGACTGACAGTCATTCATGATCACAATCACACCTATGCTCAATTTAGAATCACCAATCAATCTAACATACTGTGGGAGGAAGCTGAAGTACTCAGCGAGAGTGCATGAAAGCTCCACACAGGAAGCTCCTGGCTGACTAGTGGATTCCTGATCCCAGTCACTCTACACATGTGAGGCAACAGTCCTAACCACTGTCTCAGTCATCCAGGTTATTGCAGTCTAAGAAGCTTGGAAGGAAAAGCGTCTGGACTTCTTGAGGTTTTTAAAGACGTTTCACCTCTCATCTGAGAAGCTTCTTCAGGTCTAAGAGCAACTGGTGGAGAGTCCCAGATTTTAAACCCTATGGGAGTGGGTGTAGATCACAATCAGCCAAGGTTTCAGGCGAATCCATTGGTGAAACCTAGCCCCACCCTATCATGTGATTTACTGAGATCAAATGACCCAGGATGTGAGTGGGCGTTAAGGCGTCTGGGAAGGGATCTTCTTCAGTTGCTCTTAGAACTGAAGAAGCTTTTCGGATGAGAGGTGAAACGTTTCCAAGGAAACTTAAAGAAGTCCAGATGGTTTTCTTTCTAACTCCATAGGTCCTAACCACTCAACCACTGTCCAAAGCTCTAAAACTGTGCCCAGTGTACTCAGTGTGCAGGTGATCCTTGATGGCCAAAAGCTCAGACGTGACAATGCTCTAAAC